TAAGGAGCCTATGGTGGGTTCGAACTGCAGGCAGTTCTGTTGGCAGCCGAGCACTTCAAAGACTGTGCTACTAGGACTCCTGGGTTTTGGACCCAAGCAGACCTGTTTCCCCCTGGGTGGTCCTGGTCTGGAGCCTCAAACTCTTCACCTGCCAATCTAGAAGGCCAAGTGAGTATGGGACTTAGCTAAGTGTTCATAGCACCAGGCATTCCGAACGAACACTACCTGGGCTCACCTGAGGGATGAAGCCAGACACCCTCCATCCCATCTCACCCCCATCAGAAGGCAGGCCAGACTTGTCCCAAAGTGTCCTTGGGCCTCTGAACATTTAGCTCTGTGATTAGTATAATGGGGCCCTGATACAATGGGGCCATCGGCAGCCCTAAGAGGAAGTGGTGGTGGTGGTGATGTGGTGTGTGTGTGTGTGTGTGTGTGTGTGTGGTTTAGTGAGCCATTGAGGACTACGTGGAGGTGAGGGTTAGGGTTTCTGTTGGGTGGACATCGAAGTAAATTTGTGCAGGGAGAGTGAGGCAGCAGGCCAGTGGACAACATGGGCACCAGCTGGAGATGAAGCTGTTTCGGCTGTCCAGAGAGTAGGTGCCTGGTGACCCCAGCCAAGGGCGGGTCAGGGAAGGTTCTGAGCAGAGACCCCTCTCTCATCACCTGTAGGTCAAGTGTCTCCAGGAAACACTGGGGATGGAACGGGCCCCAGATGGCAGGCTGGCTCTAGGCCAGGCTTTGTGGCTGGTGGACCCTGGGGCCTCCTAGCAAGAACTCCGTGTGTTGTTTGGCTGCAAAGATGGTTTAGGACCTATGAGAAGATGATGATGGAGTGGTGGGTGGAGGGGGGAGTCTTGTGGGGGGCGGGGTCAGAATAACCTTGGACACTGGAGCCCTCCAGAGCTGAAGACGACCAGGAAGGCAGAGGATGGGAGCCGGACAGCCACAGGAGGGACAGGACAGAGGGAGACCAGAAGTGGAGGGGCTGATACTCTCCCTTGAAGTCAGGCCGCAGCAGCAAGGCGCCCTCCCCTCTTCCCACAGAGCAAACGGCAGTGGGCCCTGACCTTTACTTTCCCAACAAAAGAGAATTCTCCCCCAGACACAAACAGCAGCCGCAAGCTGAGCAGACCCAGCTTGGCTCTTGTGGGTGGAGCCCAGGGCCAGCCCCTCCAGCCACCCTCTTCCAGGCCCCTCTAACCCAACACCCGCCTGGGGTGGGAGGAGCCCTGGGGGAGGCTGCTGCTGTCTGGGGCCTTGAGAAATGAGAGCAGACCAGGTGGCCACAGTGGAAAGGTATGTGCGCACAGGTAGACCCTGGCTGTCTGTGGAACAGGGACCTCTGGTCAGGCACCTTTATCCTTGTTGGGGGTACTTTTGCTCCAGACAGACTCCCCCACTCCCCATTCTCTACCCCATGCTCTGGGGGAGCAGGTGTTAAAGAGTTCAGCGCTGGTGCCCGTTAACCTGCCAAAGCAAGGGAGCAGGCCACCAGCTCCTGACTTCTCCTTGCTAGACTTGGAATCACCCTCCTGCCTGGTGGATGAGGGAAGCAGGGGAGGAGGCTGGGGGCCAGGGGTGCACACGGAGAACTTGTTCTGGAGCCAGGGTGGACCTCCTCGTGGGTTCCAGGCAGGGGGCGGGACGCCCTGTTCCAGCTCCTGAGAGTGGGCTGGCCCGCTGCCTGCAGGTCTCGCCTCTCCCACCACCAAGAGGCCCTCCCTCCCTCCGCCCACCTGCAGCCCCTCAGGCGGTGGCAGACACCTCTACTCTTCTTCGGTGAAGGGCCTGGCTTTGGGGGTCCTCTGGAGATCTGACTGACCCTGGTGCAGGGAACTGGCCTCGCTGTGAAGAGCAGACTGCCCCGATGCTGGACCCAGCTGGCGAACCCTGTCCGGGGCAGGCCGTGGCCAAGTCACTATTTGCTCGCAAGTGCACACCGTTTATTGAGCGTCTCTCTCTCAGGCACACAGCCGGTAGCCCCAGAGGCCCAGTGGCTCCGGTCTCCTCTTCGAAGCCCCCGCACCAAGGTGCTGCAGGCTATGGGTCGCGAGGAACGTGGAGAAGCTGTTGGGGGGACACAGCCTGCAGCCCGTGGCGCTGGGCCCACGGGAGGGCAGTTTGCAGTGGGGAATCCACGCCCCCTGGCCGTGACCTTGGCAGGGAGGGGCTCAGGGCGTGCCCCGCTCCCCCTGCCCCACGCGTTCCGCCCCCCGCTTGCGCCGCCGAGCACACCAGCAGTGGAAGGCAGCAGCCAGGAGTCCGAGGCCCGCGCCCAGCGCTACCAGCGACACTCCCTGGGCCAAGTCCAGGCGGGGTCCACGCAGAGAGAAGGTGATGGCTGTGGCGGCGGCGCCGGCCAGCAGGGCCAAGGCGCCGAATGGCAGGACGCAGCGCGGCCAGGAGCCTCCAGCGCCGCCGGTGGCCAAAAGCAGCGCACGTAGCGCCCCGGGAAACGCGGGGGGCGCAGGAGCTGGTGCGGGGTCCAGTGTGTTCATGCCGCCGATGGGGGTGGGGGACAGGGATGGGTGGAAATGGGCGCCCACTCAGCCCCCTCCCGCCACGTCAGAGAGGATTGGCCAAGGATGCCATGACGCCACTGTGGATGCTGGGAAGTGGGTGGGCGGGGGCTGAGTCTCCTAGCCTGCTCCATTCATCTTGTGTTGGGGAACCTACTCAGAGCCCCAATGCCACCCACAGCACACCTCCTCCCTAAAACGTCCAGGTGGGCCCATAGAACATGTGGTGCCCAGCCTGACCTTGGATAAGGGTAGAACTACTGCTGGGTACCCTGGCCAGGGGAGGACCTGGCAGTGGGAGAAGTCAGAGGCCCTGCCTTATGGGAGTGGACATGTGGGCAGTAGTAGGCTGGTGGTAGGACCCACCAGGCACAAAGGTCCTCCAGGGTTAGCTGGGCTGTCACCTTACTGAGTGCATCAGCTTGGAAAGGTGAGGTCTCTCCAACCTAAGGACTACTGGCAACAGTGGCTGGGAGGGTCAGGTATTAAGATGGACCAGCCTGTACTCACCAACTGTCCCCAGGGTTCCTGCCCTAGGCAGGGACCACTGCCACCCGTGCCAGGGAAGGGATCCTTGACTGCCACTCGACCATGCTCTTCCAGCTCCTGCTGTGGCCTGTAACCTGGTCCCCAGAGGCCTGAGACCCAGTTTATCAGTTTCTGGTGTGCTGCCAAGTAGAGCCTCCTGGCCTCTTCTGCTTGGAACAGAGACCAGCAAGGTCCCTGGACAATGTCCTTACCCACCACCCAGTGCTCACAATCCAAAGGCAGGCCCATGGCAGGTGTTCAGGAGACAACCCGCAGGGCTGGCACTCCCCCTCCTGTGGCTTGGCAGGGCCCTGCTGCATGGCTTCATCCACCCCAGGAGGTATGACCCCAGACCCCTTCTGATGGTGGCACTGGGAAATGGGCTGGACCCTTTGGAACCTGAAGAAGCAGGTCCCAATGGACTGCAGGTCCAGTCCTTCTTCAGTGGGGGTTGGGAACTTCTGTGGGTGGGCTGGAATGGGGGGACCCCACTTGATCCTGTGTTGGGAGGTGCTGGGCATGGGGTCCAGGCCATCTTTCGGTATGCTGGCCCAGTGAGGGCTCATGCAGTGTCTTGTCCTCTGAACTTGGGGCAGGGGTGGGCTTCCCTTTAAGTTTGAGCCAATACCAGGTGGTGACTCTTAAGGTGTAGCACCCAACCCCCAACCCCTTAATCCAGAAGGGCTGTGTAAGGTTTGGGAGATAGACAAAAATGTGGAGTGCACTACTTAAGTATAAGCTGACCTTGGCTCTGTTGTGGGTTTGGTTCCAGCCACCAAAATAAAATACTGTACCAGTGGGAGTCAGGTGTTTTGTGTGTTTCCCAGGTTACTGAGAAGTTACGCCGGCACTAGGCTAGTCACTAAGTGGGAGGCAGTGTGATGAAGTGTGAGAACAGGCGAGAATGACCAAGACGGGGCACTGAGAGAAGGCTGTACCAGTGCTGTTCAGCACAGGCAGGCAGACACCTGGGAGTCTTTCCGAAGTGCGTTTAATGCTCAGCGGTCCCTGGGCTGTTCTCAGGAAGGCAGAATGGGGCTTAGACCTGTGGGTCCTGGGAGGGCTGACCCCACTGGGTTGGGTTGGAGAGGAGTGTGCTGGTAGCTCCAGGTGGGCTCAGTCTGCAGGCTCATCTCGCAGGGCCACAGGGAAGTGCTGGCCCCCATCACAGAGCAGGCTGTGTACTGCCCGGCACAGGGCCAGCCGGCTGGGGCTCGGGGTGCCCCTCACCAGAGGGAGGAGCTCTGCCATCAGGACCTGGGCGGGGCAGGGCGGCTCAGCAGGGAGTGTCCCAGGGATACCCCAGCCCCGCCCCCAGCCCACCATACTTTCTGCAGGTGCAGCTGCTGAGCCAGCATGGTGGTGTGCAGCTGGTGGGCCACCAGGCTTTGCAGCTCTCGGGTGCTGGAGTAGAGAAGCAGCTGGGGTTTCCAGTTGGCATCAGCACCGCCTCTGCAGGGGCATGCCTGAGGGGGCTTCCCCAGGGGCCATGGGTCCAGCTGCTGTCCTGCGACTGCTGTGTGGGCAGGGGATGTGTTTACTGGGGTGGTTGCCAGCCTCCTACATACAAGGTGTGGGTCGAAGCGCAGGGGTGGGTGCTACATTACAAGGTCCCCACCACATTGGTTCCTGCCACCTGGCACTGTGGCATGTTTCTGGAGGACTTTGCTTCCGACAAGGAGTCCTGGTGGCACTACAGCTTAGGCACGGGTCTGCTACCTGCCAGGTCGGTGGTTGGAACCCACCAGTGGGTTCCTGGAAGAACAATGAGGTTGTCTGCTTCTGTAAAGATCGACAGCCTCTGAAATGCCATCGGGGGTGCCCTCCGTCCCATGGGAGTGGGTTTTGTTTGTGACAAGCGGTAGGAGGTGTCAAAAAGTTTACAGAAAATCACAATGAAAAAGCCATGCAATTTCCCCAGAAGTCCTTATAGCTCCCTCGTATGCTCCTGGAGAAAGTCCTCTTCCACTAGTGTGCTCCTTCAGCTTGGACATCTACCTGAGTGGCTGCCTCTAACCACTGATGTTAGGAACCCTGGTGGTCAGTGAGCTACGCACTGGGCTGCTGACCACAAGGTCAGGAGCTCGAGCCCATCGGTTTGGTCCTCGGGGGAAAGATAAGATTGTCTACACCCATGGGAGGAAGCCCTGCAGAGCCGCTGTGAGCCAGATGGACTGGATGGATGGCAGTGGGTCTGGGCTTATTGCTCACATAACATAGGTATCCTCTGCTTTGTTGCCTGCAGAGCCAGGAGCCCTGGTGGTGCAGTGGGTTAAGCAGTGGCTCATGGAGGACCAGGCAGGTGGTTCAACCCCCACAGCAGCCCCATGTGACAAAGACGCGGCAGTCTGCTGTCATAAAGACGGCCGGGAACCCTGCTGTCTTTTAGGGTCACTGAGTCAGAACCGAGTCAGTATGTGTTCAGAGTCCGAGAAACAGCAAACTCCTGTGACTTTCAGAGGCTACTTCTTAAATAGTGAGCTAGGGGAGGAGGGGTGCCGAGTGACGAGGCTCTGCCTTGACGTCAGTACTGGGATGGTGTGTGTGTGCATACTGGCCCTGTAAGTCTGAGTCGGCAGACTCCTGATCAGGTGGCCATGAGCGGGGCCTCACCTTGGCGCAGCTCCTGCAGCCGGCGAAGACACTGGCCGGCCATGGTCTGCAGCCCCTCCAGGGTCAGCACCCGGCGGTACTCTTGCACCCAGTCAGCCGGAGCTGTGCGAGAGCAAGTATAGGGTCCTGTGAAGGCCCAACCAGCATCCCTGGCACCCGCTCTGGCCCCATTCCGCTGACCTGCTGCCGTCTCATTGTTCATGTGTAGCCTCAGCAGCCAGCAAGCTCTGCGCAGCGTCCCCACCTCCGCTTCCACCTGGGCCATGCTGAGCCCTGGGGCAGCCCGGCCAGACGAGGAAGCTGTCAGGGAAAGTCTCTGGTGGGCAGGCTCCAACCCAACCCCAGGGCCTGGCCAGGTAGGGTTGTAAGGTGGTCCCGATGGTCCCCCCCTGGCTCTTCCCCGGTAGCTCCAGCCTCCCACCAGCCCTGCAAGGATACAGCTGCCTGCATTTTCTGCAGAAATCGGGCTCTGGCAGCAGCCTCCTCGGTGTCACTGGCTTGAGTGGAAGTGAGCTGGGCCCACAGACTGGGAGAAAGACAGGGACCCGGGAACCAGGAGAGGGATACCAGTTAGTCCAGCCACTGGGAAGGCTGGGCGGGCCCCTGGGAGTCAGGGACAAAGGGAGCCTTCTGGGGTGTGCCAACATGGACCCAACGAGGAAAGGGAAGGGTGAAGCAGTAAAGAATGACAGGGAGTAACTATAATGCCTGTTGTGTCTGGGGCTGCCTGCCGGCTCAGTCCTCACTACACCCAGACACAGCTTGTGTCCCCTTCACCAGAGGGCAGACCTGGTCCTGCCCGGCTGGAGGTCTCCTGCTTCAAGCCCTTGACTCAAGGGCTGCAGAGCTGCCGAGTGAGTCCAGGGTGACAGGCGGGGGACACCTCTGGTTGTCAATCTGTCCCGGAGCCCACCCAGCCAGCTGACCCCACCTCACCGGGAGTTCTGGGACACTGTCTTCTGGAAGGCCAAGGGCAGCCGTAGCAGGGACCTGTTGGGCAGTCGGTGTTCAGAGAAGCCCTAGTGCCTGCTCAGAGCCCTGCCAGAGACGATGTCCCCTCTCCCAGATCAGGCCCCCAAGAACAGGGTTCCCATATGGCCATGGGGCTGGTCCAGGCCAGGTCTGCCTGGCAGGGAAGAGGGGCCGTGATCAGGGCGGGCACTGCTCTCCTGCTCCACTCTGTCAGGCCCAGGGTGTGGGGCTCCAAGGGATAGTGCCCTGTGCTCACCACTCCCACACCCAGCCTTGTCACCTCTCCAACTCAGGCCACATGCACTTACCCCTTTTCTTTAAGTGTGAAAACTTCTGGACCCCGAGGAGCAGCAGATGTCACCTGTGGGTCCCCAAGGCTGGGCTTGGTGGCTCGGGCTCCTGTTCCCAAGGTGGCCCTCTCCTGAGCAGGCCGGAGCCTGTGTTCTTGGTGGCCCGTGGTCAACACTTTGGGCTGGTGGCTGCTCCTGGTGGGTCTGGTCACTGATGTGTGGCTGCTAGTCCGCCCTGGGGCTTGGGGCGGGGCTGGGGCTGTGGGGGCCTTGGTCCTGGGTTTCTGGTTGGGGACCTTGGCTCTCTCTGCAGTCTTCGAGGGGCTTTTTCGTACCCGGACAGCCTTCTCCAGCGCTTGGGTCAGGAGCTCCAGCTCCTTGAGGTCTTGGGGACTGGGGGCCCCTGTAAAGGGCGAGCTTCATGCCAGGGGCCCTCCTAAGCACCCACTCCCACGACAGGGACCTGCTTTTTCCTGGCACTTGCCTGCAAGAAGGTGGGGGGAACCCGAGGTTTACCTGGAGACGGGTCCTCATGACTGGGTTCTGGCTCTGGCACCCCGGCAGGTTTCCTTGGGAGAAAGGCGGCCCAAGGTGAGAAGGTTGGGTGACTCCAGGTGCTCCCTCACCGCCTCAGACCATAATGGGCAGCTCGGGAGTGGGTCCGCCTACCAGGTTCCCAGCAGCCGCCGGCACACGCGCAGGCTCTGGTCCAGCTGCTGCTCTTGCTCCGCGCAGGCGTCCAGCGCGCCCTGCAGTTCGGCCACCAGCCTAGGAGGGATGCACTAAGGGCTCAGCACCTTAGATGGTCCCGGCCTCGAGTCCGCCCGCACAGCGAAAGACTCACCGGCGCGAGGAGTCGGCAGGCAGCATGATAGCGGCCACGGCAGTTTCCCGGGGTTTGCCGCCACAGGGAGGCACCGCCTCTTCCGGCGTAGAAAGCCGCCCTCTTCCGGCCTGGCTACCCAATCCTAGGCCGAGAGCTCAGAACCCGCCCTCCTTCATCACGTTCAACCAATCACGACTGCACGTTTGCCTCAAAACTCCGCCCGCCGGCAGACTCCGCCCTGTCTGCGCCGACCGCGCCCGTTCCGTGCTGTAGGGCTTCAGGTTGCTGTCGCGCGCAAAGCTGGGGAGGGGACCTCAGTGTCGCGCGGCCTTCCGTTTTGGGTAACTGGCGGCTGGGGGGCGGGCGCAGAGCATCTTTCTTCACTGGCTTCTTTTTTCCTCTGAGCACAGGGCGAGCGGCAGGAGGGAGTTTGCTGGGGGCGTGCCTGTGCCAAAGCCGCTGCCCTAGCGCTAATGGCTCTAGGCGGTGTACTGCCGACCAGGTGGGATATGGACCCGGAGGCCAGCATAGCATCACATGCCTTAGGCCCAGGAAGGGGTGTCCCCGCAGTCTTCAGTGACCCAAAGGACACCTTGGGGGGTCAGAGTGTACGGAAAGAACTGGCTGACCCGAAAGAGGGCGCAGCAGGCCCCCGTGTATGGACTTCACTGGCGGTAGTTGGAGGGGTAGGTGTAAGGGCCCTGCTGTTTAAAGCCTGGAGCCGCTGGACAAATCCACTGTTAAGGGCAAGGAAGGAGCCCCAATGGACTAGCCAGCAGCTGATGACAAGGTTGGTAATTCAAAGCCCCCAGCCTCTCTGCGGCTCCTTTAAGGCCCTGCCTTGTGCTCCTGAAGCTTATGGGACGGTTCTCCTCTGGTCACATAGGGGCCGCTGTGAGGCCAAACCTGCCCGTAGTCACGGGAAGACGCTGAAGGGGCAGGGAAGCTCCTTTCAGCGTACCCTAGGGGAGGAGGCAGGTAGCCTTCCTGGCTGATGTTATCAGAACAGGTTGACCAGGCAAGTCCTGTGCCTGTTTCCCATTGTATATAAACGCGTATTTACACCAGCCTGTAAGTGGGGCACAGACAGGGACTGAGCACTTGCTATTGGAAAAACAGTGCCCACTGACTTGCCCAACGGGGCTGCCAAACTCAGTGCCAAGAAGTAGATCAGGTCTTGGGCTAATTTTGAGGTCAGCCGTTGGAAACCACTAGCTGCTGCTCCTTGGAAGGTGCGGTTTTCTACTCCCCCAAAAGTGTTAGTTTCCGAAACCCACAGGGGCAGTTTCATCCAGTTCATAGTGTAGGGTAGGTCTCTGCCCTTCCTATGAGGGGGCTTGCCACCAACATTCAATTTGTTAAAAAAGCACCTCTGTAGCAAAACAAAATGAGGTCTGCTTGTATTGTGTTGTGTGGGAAGGCCAGTCAGGGGGTCCTGCATGGCTTCCTTCCCAAGGGGCAGGCTAGGAGAGGGCAGGGAGCCAGGTCCATGCCAGGTTGAAGGGAAGTCACTCGCTGGACACCATTTGATCACATTTTATCCTCACAACATCCCCGTGAGGTAGGTACGGTGGCCTCATCTTACAGATGAGACTGAGGCTCAAGAGGTTAATAGATACACGCACGGCTGGCAGTGCCATGTCTGATTCCTCACCCTCGGGGTGGCAGAGCACCAGTGGCCAGCTGGGTGGGGGTCCTGCAGACTCGAGGACTCCCACCAGTGGTTCTGGGGGGAAGCAGGGAGTAGGGTAGAGGGGTGAGCATGTCAGTGGCCGACTCAAGTGGGGCCAGCGACCCCTGGCTGCCCCAGGTGGTATTTCTTTCCTCTTCTGTGACAGAAGGGTGGCTTCCTTTCCACAGGATTCAAGAGCATGTGTGGTGACCCGACATCAGGGGCAGAGCAAGGGGCTTCAGGGCAAGCAGGCAGGCTCCCTCCTCCCCTATCCTCCAATGTTACAGTTGGCTCAGGTTGCTTGTCCGTAGTTTGAGGGTTGGCCTCCACTGCCCCCTTTTCCCAAATCTTTCTGTTTGGGGTTTTCCAGCCCAGTGTCTGAATGTTTCCATTTCATGTTGGGAGAGGAGTGAGGCAGGGACATGAGCAGGGCAGGACCCTCCCTGGAGGGACCAGGTTCCCCAGATGGGTGGGGGGCCTGGACCCCCTGGAACACAGGTAGTCACAGCTCAGCCCCTGCCGACAGTGTGGGGCCCGCTGCCAGGCCACAGGCCAAGAAAGGGAAGAGGTACACTGAGGTGTCGGCAGCTGCCCCCACACTTGAGAGGAGCCGGAGGGTGGAGGGTCTGTTGGCTCCACGCAGTGATGGCTGGGCACCTCGGAGAACCCTGAGCCTTCTGCTCAGGACATGCGGGCGCTCACATTGAATCAGACTGCCCAGGAAAAAGCACGTTGACCTCCACAGGTGACCGCCCTATGATTTGCGGGCCTCAGCGGGAGACCCTCTCCCCCAGGCTCAGCAGCATCCCAGTAAACGTTCCCTGTGCCCCCCTGCTGGGTCAGGCTCGGCCGCCGCGCTCTGCTGTGTGCTTCCGCTTGGCCTGTGGGTGGGGACCTCCACTCTCTGGGCCACATTGTAAACAGGACTTCCGGGCACTGTGGTGGCAAGGTTGCGGGTTCAAATCATCACGGCACGGGGTTGGCACTGAGGTAGGTTGAGGGGGTCCGGAGCTGGTGGGGCTGGTGCTGCTGCTGACGGAGGAGTACCCCGAGCTCGGGGTGCCCTTGCTTGGCGCCCCCCGGCTGCAGGAAGGGGGCTCGGGCTCTGGGCTTGGCGGGGACTGGAGGTCTTCGGGGCAGGCCTCCTCATCGCTGGAGTCGTGACAGCAGTGCTGCTCGGGGCGCAGGTAGACCACGGTGACGTCGAGGACGCCGCTGGGAGCCGTGACTGTGGGAAGCATGGGGTTAAAGAGGCCCTGTGTGCCGGTGCCCACCCTCCACCTGGCATGCCCCAGGGACCCTGGCAACCCTGCGGGCATCTGAACAGAACTGCCCTCTGTGGGGCTTTCAGGGGCTAGTGCACTGCAAGGCCTTTCAAATTCCAAGATGCCTTAGGTTGGCCTCAAACCCCGACCCTTTCGGCTAGCAAGCGGATAGGGGGGACAGGAGACCCCAGGCCAGCTGCCCCACCTACCGTCCCCCTCCTTCTCGCCCTCGCTCTCCTGGTCGCCCTCATAGCCGGAGCAATAGTCCAGGCTCCAGTCCAAGAAGCTGCCCAGCAGTGTCTCCTCGTCTGGGCTGGAGAGCTCAGCTGTGGGCGTGGCCAGGAAGCTGCCTCGGTCCTCCTGCAGACTGTTCTCCCGCTTCCTGGGGGGTGGGGGTGGGGGAGGGGAAGGTGAGCAGGGGAGGCAGGGTATCGGCATCTGACCCCACTCCCCTTGGGGGACAGCACCTTGGAGGCAGTCAGAGGGCAAGGCAAGGCAGAAGTGCCCCCTGGGTGTGCGGGGCAGCCATCGGCTTGTGGGTTTGAGCCACAGACTCTTGCTCTCGGCTTAGCAGGACACCCCCCCCCACCCCACGGAGCAACCAAACGGAGCCCACTGCTCTGAAGCCTGGAGGGCAGAGTAGAACTGCCCGCAGGGTCCGCGAGCCTGGGCAGCTTCCCCAAAGCTGACTGCCATGTCTTCCTCCTGCAGGGCAGCCGGTGGGTTCCAACACCCAGAGCGTCCGTCGCAGGGGCAACGGGTGCTCCTTGGGGGAGGCACTCTGCAGGCAGACCCAGGGTCTGCATGGGGGTTTGAGTTCAGCCCAGCCAGGGCAGCCACGATGTGGACACTGGGAGCCACCTCACCCCAGGCTATGCAGGGCCTTTGTGAGGGCCGGGAGGTAGGTGGGCACCCCACCCCCAGGGGAGCCCAGGCCTCTCTGGATAAGGTGGACACTCACCGCTTGGTCCTCCTTCCGGAGGGAGAGCTCAGGAAGGCGTGGATCTCCCCCGAGGCCAGGAATGCAACGGGCTCTGGATCCTCCTGCTTCACCCCCAACAAGGTGCACAGCCGGCTGTGGCTGATCACCTGAGGAAGTGGTAGGGTCAGTGCCCCCGCCCCACCCCTCTTCACTCAACCCACCCTAGAGCCTCAGGCAGCTCCCCTCCCCTCTTAATCCCGGCCCCTCTCCACAGGCCCTGCCCCCAGCCCATCAGGCCCCGTCCCCAGCACCTCTTCCTGGCTGATCCCCTCATAGCGCTTGTCCTCGAACCGCTGCTTCACTGCTGTCAGGGAAACCTGCCGGTAGTCCTTGGGGGCGTCATCATGGAAGCTGGGAGAGAGGGGCCATGTGAAGGGCAGCCAGGAAGGCAGTCTGCTTGGGGAGACTGTCCCCTCCAGCCCCACACCCTGCGGTTGAAGGAGATTGTGTCAAGTGTCCCCCGGCCACCCCGCTGGCCCCGCCCAGACTCACCACTTTTTATGAAGGCTCAGGACGCAGGGCACGAGGTCTTCGCGGGAGAAGCCAGTGAGGTCCCAGAGCTGCCGGCTCCAGGCCTGTGCTGCAGAGGAGGTAAGCCAGGTGTGCAGGGCTGCCCCTGTGCCGCAGGCCACCTCTCCCACCCCAGCAGTCCCGAGGCCCTGTGACTTTCTCGGGACTCAGTGCGGACTCCAACCTCCAACCTTTGGACCAGTGGCGAGAAGCCCATCAGCTGTCACCCTGCGGAGTCAGTTCTGACTCACGGTGAGCCGTGGACACTGCGGCACTGGCTTGTAAATGCGACTGCCAGGCCTTCCTTCTAAGGCACCACCAGGTGGGTTTGGCTGGCCAACCTCTCAGCAGCCACCTGAGCGCTCGGGTGGCTGCCAGGTGGCTGCTGCCCAGAGACTGACTTATGCTGCCCAGGGACCAGCTCTGATAGCAGTGCCCAGATGCCCTGCTGCCGGGCCTTTCTCAAGAGTCCTCATCCCCTCGAGGTGGACACAGGCCTTTCTAGCTTCTCCCTCCATGTCCTGGGTCAGGAGGATGCCCTCCTCATCCCCGGGCCCACAGGTGGTGACTGCTTACTCTGTCCGTGCGAGAGTTGGGCCAGGAGTAGGGCGGCTGCTGCCAGGTGGGCAGGTGTGTGGGCTGAGAGGCTGGTGTGCAGCAGGGACAGCTCACAGAGGAGGCTGCACAGGTGCTGGGTCCTCCGCGGCACCGGGACCAGCGCCATCAGCACCTCCTTGTAGTCCACCACCGTGGGGATCTGCAGGGCGGGGGGCAGGCGCTGGGCTCCCAGTACTCTGAGGGCTCCCCACCAGGCTCAGGGCCCGAGGAGGCCCCACCCATGAGGAGGAGGGCCCTGTTTGCCACCCCTTCTACAAGGACTGTCCCTGGCCCTGACCTCCTGCCCTGCACCACCCTCCAGGGAGGAAGGCCCACTCACTCGGATCTTCCCCTCCAGGGCAGCCGCGATCTCGCCCATCATCCGCACCAGGTCCTCATACTTGTAGGTGTTGTCTGTGAGCCAGACGGCCTCGCGGATGGTCAGGATCTCCTTGCTGATGAACCTGGGGCACGGAGAAGCGGCCTCAGCGCCAAGTTCAGCCCTCCGTAGGGACTGATGGACCAAGGAAGCCTGTGGTGGGCCAGGGTTCATGAAAAGGGGAGCCCCGCGGGGAAGGTGCCAAAAAAATGAAAGACGCCTGGAAACCACGCAAGTGGATCTTAGGGACCTCAGCCGCCACCACTGCGACCAGAAGCACTAGGTGGTGCCTAGCCCCGACCGCTCGCTGCTCTGAAAGGGACGAACGGAACTGGACTGCAGTCCGAAAGAGGCTGGGGCAGCCCCTAGACTGGGGCTCTTAGACCCCTTTCAGGCCTGGAACGGAAACCCCCACTGTGGTGCATCTTTCAGCCCGACAGGCCTCCAAGGTGAGCAGTCACACCAGGGAGGTCAGCCGTCTGAGATGACAGGGCAGTGCTTGTCCACGGGTGACACGTGGCGGGGAGGCAGAATGGACAGGCAGCGGGGGAGGGAGTGACAAGAGCATGGGACCATTCTCTCTCACCTGTCAAACGCACAGGTCACAGCCGAACACTGAAAGGGGTGCTGGAAGGGAGAGCAGGATGCAGGGCAGGGGAACCAAGCCCAAGTGCCCAGCCTCCCAGCCCTTGTGTGATGCCTAGCCTGTGTGCAGGACTGGCGCCCAGGCAGTGGGCACTCTGAAGGTGGCAGGATGGCAAAGGGTCTCAGGCTAGGTGGGGTGCTTCCCAGCCCACCCACCCACAGCTGATTTCCAGGAAGCCTGACTGTCCTTAGCACGTGGTCACCTTGCTCTCTCCTGGCCCTCTCAGCACCTGTTAGAAGGATGCTTTCCTGGAGATGGGCCCTTGGCTGCTGGCCTCAGGGACTGAAGCTCCCACAGTGGGCAGGCTGTGGTGCTGGGATTAGAATGCTAAAGCCAAGATGAACCATGAGCAGAGTTCTCAGGCCTGGGCACAAGGCAGGGCAGCTTGGGTCAGACCTGCCCTGGCATGAGTGGGTACCTGCCCCTGAGCATCGCCCAGCATGGGAAGCCGGATACACACACACACACACACACGCCCCTTAAGAAGAGGCTGGCGGGGATTGCTGATGTAATTAGTCATGTGCTCTGAGGTCCCCCAGTTCCAAGGCTCTGTCTGTGTTTGCCTTCAGGGGCCTGAGAGTAAAGTGAGATCTCTTTCCCTGCCCAGGCGAGACCACCTTCTGAATCTTGCAACCGCATGCTGGATGGCCCCCTAACACAGGTATCCTGGAGGGTCACCTGCCCTTGCCCCCCACTGCCCGGGGATGCCCCATTGGGTGCTCCCCAACATCGGAAACCAAAGCTGGTCACTCAGGACCAGCCCACTGCATGGTGCCTCTGCTTACTAGCGGGCAGTGAGCAGCATCTGCTTCAGAGGATGGTCCTGACCCTGGGGCCGGCGGGGCGGGGCTCACCGGGTGCAGATGACCATGCAGGCGATGCCCAGCAGCTGGAGCTGGTGTCGGGGCACTGGACGGCGGCGCAGGCAGCGGTCCACACACTCCACGGTCAGGTGAAGGCACAGGCTGGTAAAGTCCTTCATGGTGGCCACCTCCACCAGCCAGTCAATCAGGATATACCTGTGTCGGAGGACGGGCGGACGCCGTGAGACACAGGCCCCGGTCGGGCAGATGCCAGAGGAGCCGGCGACCCAGCTCTCCTCAGGGCAGCTGTGGCCGGAGACAAAGACAGCCAGGATGGGGGCCTCTGGGATCTGGGGCTGGGGGGCTGAAGGATAATGAAGTTTCCTCATGAGGCTTCTGAAGCCCGTTGTCCACCTCACAGGATGGCAGGACTGTCCCTAGGGGTTTCCAAGACGGTCAATCTTTATAGAAGCAGAGCCACACCCCTCTCCCGAGGAACAGCCGTGTGCACGTGTGCGTGCATGTTTGTGTGTGTTTGTGTGAGAGAGAGAGAGAGAATGGCTTTCGGCTAGTAGCCAAGTCCTTGACTGCTGCTCCACCAGGGGCCTCGTGTGTACACCCTGAGACGTGTCCACCCACCTTCCCTGCAGCAGGGTTCCCAAGAGCCCACACCTGTCACCAGCCCTGTGCCCCCTGCAGCCTCACTGTGTCCCAGAGCGATGCAGCTTTGCCCCACATGAAATACAGTAGGGACCAGCCTGGAAAGCATGCTGGGCGACTGGTCCATCCCAGAAAGAGCGCTTGGAAATGGCTGCCCGGCAAGCGGAAAAGTAGGTGATGCCACCAGGTGGCAGCCCCCTCTCCCCCCAACCAAGGAAGGTCCAGCAAGCTGTTCCTGTAATGATTTGAGGCCAGTGGAGCAATTCGCTCCATCACCTGGCTCCCAGGGAGTCCCAGCTGACACCAAGCACCGGAGACGCCCCGCCAGCACAGGGGAATACCCGGAGCGGCTCTTGGGGGCTGGGAAGGGACAGCCTTGAAGGTCCAAAGCTTGTTTGGGTGGTGAATTTGTGGAGCCAGATGCCCACAGTTGTGTCACTCACACACACACCTCATTGTGTCGTTGAGCCCCTTCTGCACGGAGAAGATGGGCTGCTTGCTGGCAGTGCGGGACGCCTGGAAGAGCTGACGGGCGGCCTCGGCGCAGGCCTTCTCCTCCAAGCCCAGCTGGCCTGCGCTGGAACAGGCTTTGGCCAAGGACAGCTGTGGGGAGGACAGGCGGGGCAGGTGTGAAGCACCGGCTGGAGGGAAGGGGGGGTTGGGGTTGTCCCTTAACGAGGTGGTGTGTGCCCCGGAGGATGCTCAGCAGGCAGGACGGGAGGGCAAGGAAGACAGCAGGAGCCGGGAGGGGTGGGAAGGGGGCTGTGGCAGTGCGGGGGAATGCTCTCAACATCAGGAGGCAATGCGCACATCGTTGGGGTGAACCAGTCAGGGCTCCCTGCGGGTGCTAACAGTGAAGCACTTGACTGGGAGGTAAGGCGGCCAAGTGGGGTACCTGCGGGCTTCTAACCAAAAGTTCAGCAGTTTGAAACCACCAGCTGCTCTGCGGGAGAAAGGAGGCTTTCTGGTCTGTAAAGACTTACGTTTACAGCCTGGGAAACGTGAAAGGACATGTCTACTTGCATTGAAATCGAGGGACGGCAGTGGGTCTGGGTTCTGGTGGCTGAGCTCTGGGGGGCTGACTGAGCAAGTGGAGGGCGGGAGGAAGGAGCCCTGTGCTCCCACAGGGTCACAGCGGCGGGTGTCGTTTGGGGTGTGGCACACATGATAAGGAGCCCTGGTGGTGCAGTGCTTACACTGTGGGCAGCTCCGGCAGCGGGGCAGATGTGCAAGACTGATGGACAAAGGAACAGGCTTAGTCTGAAAGAGGCTGGAGGTGGCCCCTAGCAGTGGCCTTCGGTCACCTTTCAGGTCTGGAATTAGCAGCCCCACCCCGAGGCTTAACCTTCAGGCAAATGACAGGGCTGTCCAACCACCTCTAACGGCCCCAGGGCCATGCGCCTCAGCACAATCAGCCCCTCCCTCCCTTGTGTCCCAAGGGCGGGCAGGCCTCCACAAGAGGGGGATGGGCACTCGTGCTGGGGCGTCCTGGGGCTCGAGGTCAACGCCACAAGACCAAAGGAGAAGCACCGCGCATTTCGAATGTTCACCCCAACCACAGCGAGCCGCCAACAGCAGAGCTGAACCAGCAAGCTGCTGGGGAGAGAGGGGTGCCACGTGAGACCCCCCCCACCCAAGGGATCAAGGCTGAGAGGAGCAAGGACCTTTCCCTGCAGTCAGAGGGGTAGACGGTGTGAATGAGAGCACCTTCTCCTCCGGCTGAGAGGAGGGAGGGAAGGAGAGAGAGGAGAGTGATCTGCCCCCTAGGGGTGGCCTCTCTAAGGGAGAGTCGGTTCGCATTTTAAGCCCCCATTGGTGGTGGCCTTGAGAGAACTACAATGCCCACCCAGAAGGGCCGTTCACTTTAAAAAGCATGAGGAGGTGGCGACTCCTGGTAGGAGGCTGAGCCATGGAGAAAGACCAGCCTCCTGGCCCCCACACCCTCCGAGAGGGAGGGTCCTCGGTGCCCACCCTCAGCCTCACCTGTGCTTCCCAGCAGCCCCTGGCAGCATAGTCCTTGAGTCTCCGGAAGCTATGCAGGCACCTTCCCGGGTCGGCCGTCTGCTGACAGAGGAAGGCCTTTCTAGATTGTGTTGTGTGGATCTCCCGCAGATTCCCAAAGGCCATCACTGGAGCTCTGACGGGCACTTGTCCCCCAAATTGCCCTGCTGATATCCCCACTGACCGGCGCTCCCAGGGCCACTCACCTCGGCCTGCTGGCCTCGCTCCCAGAGCAGGTACGCGCTGGACAAGCAGCCCTGCTCAGCGGACTCGGCGAACAGCGCCAGGGCCTGCTGCTGCTTTTCTTCTTCCTGGAATGAGCCCAGGCACATTGCGTCCCTCTTCCGTCCCTGCTAGGGCCCCTGCAAACCCCCCACTCCTGGCTGCTCTAAGGAGCAGCACCCCTCGCCCTCCAGTGGATGAGCAGGTACAGACAGCCTCAGGGGATGTGGCTGCCACAGGGTACCAGTCGCCATGGCTTTTCTGGTCATGCCTGAGAGGGCGGGGGTGGCAGCACTGTGACCACTGCTGCAAAGCGCCATACAGATGGACCAGCCCTTCCCAGAACCAGCCAGGGCGACCCCACAGGGCACAGGCGCCAGGGGCTGGCCAGAGCACATTGGACCCCAGCTGACTGGTTTTTGGCTGTGCTAAGATGCCCAGGGACAAGGCACACAGGTGAGGGCTGCCCTGGCCCGTGGGCCCCCCAGCTCACCTCGAAGAAGCTCAGCACCCGTCCCAGACAGTGCAGGATGGCCGCCCGGTGAGTCTGCAAGAGATGCGAGGAAGACGGGCTGTCAATTCGGAGCCCAGCCTCAGTGCCTACCAGTATCAAGTGTGCTCAAGACAAAAGCCCACTGATACACAGAGCAGACTGGTCCAGCCGCACCTGGCAGCCTCACCCTGCGGGACGTTCCCCTCCACCCTACAGGGCTGTTAGGGAGGACACACGGCAGCCTCGAGGATGGAAGGAGGGGGGACCGGGGACTCTGTCGGGAGAACGCTCCCGCTGATCTTGGTCCCCTTACGGCCCTGCTGCCCAACCAGCCCCGGGACCCAGAGAAGCAGCCGACTTCAGTTACAACTGCTAAACTGGGCCCTGGCCCTACATGTCCATCTTGGCAGCTGGCTCCGGGCTCTGCCAGCTCCTCTTCTCCCTGTGTTCCCCTCCCGGGGGTCTCCGTCCCCTGGCTTACCCTGTGCAGCTGGCACTCGGCCCGCAGACTGCTGTGGACCACAGCTTTGCAGCAGCTCCCAGAGGCTGACCAGGGCGGGCGGATGAAGAGCCAGATGAAGGGCGCCGCACCTGAGTTCAGCCGCTCAGCCAGGCTGAAGAAGCGCGAGGCCTTCAGCCCGTTCACTTCTGCTCGGGCCTCGTCGGACACAGACACTGCAAAGACACACAGCAGGTGGCCCCGTGTCCTGCAGCCGGGCTCCACTCGGGGTGCAGTCCAGGACCATTTCTGAGGGTCTCGGAACCTCAGCCCACCACCGCTCAGAGATGCTCCGTCTGTGACGAGCAAGAAGCTCCCCCCAGGCGGCGGGCTTCTCCTTTGCTCTGGGCGGGTCTGTCACGGGACACTTGCCATTCCAACCCCTTCGCTTCCAAAAAGAACTAACAGTCTCGGAAACCCACAGGGGCGGTTCTGCTCTGTTCCAGAGGGTCTCCAGGAGTGGGAGTGGACCCGAGGCAGGACCTCCGCCCAAGAGCACTTACATCCTTCGTTGTAGAGGTAGGCAATGCCCAGCTTCACGGCAGCTTCGAAGTTTCCCTTCTCGGCGGCCCTAGGGCATCAAGGACAGGGACATCGTCATGTTTTCTGCCACTGCAGTTAGGTGCCAGCACACACCCCTACCCACAAAACAGTCAATTATTAATTCCCATGACAGGTTCTAACCCCCAAAGTCTCTGAAAACATTAGGATACGTGCCCAGAAGCCAGACCCCCAAAGACCCCATAATGTATGGTCTTATTTATATTTCAGTGTCCAGATTAGGCAGAGCCCTGGACAGAAAATAGATGAGTGGTTGCCTTAGGCTTGGGAGGCAGAGCCCAGGGCGAGAAGGCTTTCCCCGGAGGCTGGTGCTGGGGTCTCGGACTTCTGGTGCTCTGAACGGGATGGACAAAGGGGCAACAACGGTGCGTTCAAACACAGAAGGATGGCGAGGAGGGCGTGGGGCTGGCCAGTGTGTCCATCCATTGTGCATGGCGGACGCTGTGAGTTGGAACCCACCCGAGGGCCCTGACAACAGCTATCAGCCCGGGGAGGAGGCACAGCACAAAAAATTACTGCTAAGTGGTCTGGGCTTTTTTGGGTGGCGAGATACAGAGGTTCAGGAATCAGGACCGAAGGCCTTCGGAATGTTCTAGAAACCAATGAACTCCACACTCTCAATGGGTGAGTTGCATGGGATGGGCATTATCTCCGAATACAAAAATGGCCTGGCTGCCTGCAGCCGACAGAGAAAAGCCAGTTCTCTGAACCTCTCCCACCTTACTGCCCGGCCAGGGACCTTGGCCAGAAGCCTCTCCAGTGTTGCCCAGAGAGGAGGGGCTCAAGGTAGCCGTGGCTGCAAGGGCAGCTTGCTTAGACGATGAGCACCCCGGAACGGTGAGCCTAACGGTTGCCCTGTTGAGGGAGGCGGGAGGCTCGCAGCCTCTCCTCATCCCAGGACCGCGGTCTGCTGGCTGAGGAGTGGCGGTCGGAGCTGCCTTTTTCTGCACCGTTGACTCACTGTGTCTGAGTCACACGGGATGCATCCCCAGCTGGGCGGGAGCCCGCAGAGGCATGGCAGTGACTCAGGGAGAATATGTGGGCAGCGCTGGTCTCCAACATCTTGGCTACTTCAGGAGCCTCGTGACTCGAAACAGGCGGGCTACCTGCCACCCTCAGCCAAGTCTCTTTGGGGTGGGGGTGGGTGAGGCAGGCGGTCACAGCTCACAAGCCAGAGGAAACGGAGCAGGACTCCCCCTGGGTTGGGGGCGGGGTGTGTGTGTGTGTGTTGTGCTCATGTGCAGGTACCTTTCAAACAGCTCGAGGTTCTGCGGAGAAGGCCAGAGCTCCTGGAAGCTGGCCGAGGCCCAGACGCTGGCATGGTTGTCCACGAGGTATCGCAGGTGTGAGTGCACCTGCGAGGCAGTGGAAGTCAGGCCCACCTGTAAGACCCACTCCCAAGGTGCTTGGCAACTAGAGGCCCAAGCTGCCTCTTACAGAGTCCCATCTCCCTCTCCCTCTCAAGGAGTGAAGAGCCCAGGCTGGCTACAATAACCATAGCTGTTCCCAGTCAGGAGAGAGCTGGGGGTGAGAGTCCCTCCAGCCCTGACGCAGGGACAGAGATCCTGGAAGGGGGTGGTGGTGGTGACATTCCTGCCTGGGAGGGGCCAACTACACAGGGTGGAGATAGTCATTGGGAGGTTGGAGGGAGAGAGAAGGATGCTCGGATGCACAGAAACTCACAGGAGCTCACAGATGGCCCCAGTGTGGCAGCAGCCTGGGGTAGGAGGCACAGCTGGTGCCCTGGGCCGAGGCAGGCTCAGGCTGAGGGTGGGGAGTGCGCACAGGGCACATCTGAGGTCACAGATGTCCCATGGCTGAGGGTAAGCAGCCTGTGGACTCCACCAAGTGTCCAGGGACTGCAACGAAGGCAGCGTCGAGGTCAGGGACGTGGGTTTTTGCCAGTCTTCCCACCAACTCACTCTGACTTTGGCTAAGTTACTCAAGGAGCCCGGCTGCCAACCCTAAAGGTCAGTGGTTCAAATCTCCAAAGTGGCTCCATGGGCGTAAAGACCTGGGGACCTGCTTCCATGAAGGAAACCCACCAAGGCTTCTAGGTTCTGCTCATCAACGGAATTGACTCGATGGTGCCCATCAATGGCGAAAAAGAGTCGCACAAACTGACCAACTTAGAAGCTGTGATTGCAACATCTACCAAACGCCCCTTTCAGGGCGAAATGTCACACGGGATCTGTCTTCCAGGGCATATGACTCTTTGCAATACCACTTCTTCCTTACAGGGTACAAAAGTGCTGCCACCAGAGGGTCCTCTCTCAAAATAGGCATCACAACTCGCTGACACTGGCGGGGGAACAGTGTCAGGTTTCAGCACTGCTGCTGTCATGGATTGGCTTGTGTCAGCCTCACCAGACCATGACTCTTATGATTGTGTAACTGTCCTCTGTTCTGTGAGCTGATGTAATCATCTCCCTGAGATGAACCAGGTAGGAGGCAATCCCCAGGATGAGGTTGCTCCTTGAGTCAATCTCTTTCAAGATTTTATAAAAGTGATTAAACAAGATTAGCAGGACCCGATTACCACCCAGCAAGAACCGGTCGCAGAGCACTTCCTTTGGACCCGAGGGTCCCTGCACTGGGAAGCTCCTAGACTTCAGGAACGATGGATGCCACAATCCCTGGCATTCTCCAAGGAACACGGGGCCCACTGAGGTTAAAAGGAGGCAAGGACTTTTCTCTAGAGCCCACAGAGAAAATGTCCCTCTGAATTCAGACTCTACACGGTGAGAAAATGCATTTGTGACAGCCATCCCCTTGAGGCATTCTGTGACAGTAGCAGGAGAAAGCAAAGACGTCTACTCCGAGATACCTTCAGGCAATTGTGAACCACACCCTCCTGTCCTCTACCTTTCAGAGCCCCATTCCTTCTGACAGAACAAGGGTAAAACTGATTGTGGTGATAACTCTTCTTGATGTGATTGAACTATTGAATTGCATGCTTTGTGAATTACATGCCAATAAAGCTGTTAAAGAAAAAAAACCAAACAGATTGAGAACATGGGCCCACTGCTGGGGCCACTTACAGCTCGGACAGCGAGGATGTCCCCAACCGGAAGCCACTTCAGGATGTGAAATAGCACATCTTCAGGGAGACTCAAGATGGTGAGGTTCCGGGGTCTCTTTCTGATTCTTCGTTTAGTCGGGTAGCAGAAGCACTTGGCACACCGGCAGTGGATCACTGAGGGAAAGAAACAGACACAGTCAGAGGCCTGAAGGGAGAGACCAGGGCTTGGAAGGTCTTATCTGAGGGTGACTGGCATTATTGTCCCCTGCCCTCCCTACAAAAGAGGGGCTTGGCCGGGGTTCTGCTTCCACGTGGAGATTCAGATTAAGTTAAATGGCTTACAGAAGATGGAACGATATCTTTAAACAGTCAACAGATGTGGATGGAGAATCGTGGCTCTCATGTCACCAGGAGGCCCTGGTGGCACAGCTGCTAATCAAAAGGTTGGGAGTTTGAAGCCACCAGCAGTCCTGGGTCTGTCAAGGGTTACAGCCCAGAAGGCGATCTTACTCTGTTCTATGGAGGGTGGGGAGGGGGGCAGGGGCGGGGAATGAGTTGGTATTCACTTGAAGACAGTGTTGTACTTTCCCACCCCACCCCCCACCCCCGCCCAAGACGGAGTCCGGAACCAGGGGCTTAGGCACTGCAGAGGTGAGAGCCTGCCCGGGTGCTTTGTGCCTCTGTGCTTGGCTGTTCGGGGTATTCCAACCCCAAATCCTGACCCACACTGGTGGCAGAACTAATTCTTTTAATTAATCAACATTTTATCGGGTGCACTTACAGATCTTATAACAATCCATACATCAATTGTATCAAATACATTTGCATATATGTTGCCATCATCATCTTCTTTCTACTTGAGCCCTTGGTATCAGCTCCTCTTTTCCCCCCTCCCTCCTGCACCCTCCTACCCTTTGGACCCCTGATAAATTATAAATATTTTCACATCGTACACTGTCCACTGTCTCCCTTTGCCCATGTTTCTGTTGTTCATCCCCCTGTGTGTGGGGTGGGGGGGTTAATACATGGATTATTGGGCAGAACTATTTCTATTCCAGCAATTGTGCCCCGTGTGCTTTATATGCTGGAGAACATGGGGCGCCTCATTTCCTCGGAAGATTGAACCTCAAGATCCTGCCACTGCACCTCCAAGCCTACCTGCTTCCTCCTCTTGTTCCCACCTGTGCTGGTGGAGAACATGGGGCCTCTGGTAGGCATTTCCTCTACCCCTTTCCTCTTTGCCCTCCTACATTGTGGAAACTCAAGATGTTGCAGGTGTGAAATAAGGCCGGGCCACTGGGTTGCACAGCCTTTTGGATTGCCTGCGATCTCTGTAGCATTCACCCAGATCTTGGTAGCCTTTAGAGCACAGCCACCAAGGGTTTAGGAAGGAATGCAAAGTCCCCTACCATCTATTCGATGCCGACCCATAGGTAACTGTGGGCGGTTTCAAACTGCTAACCTTGCAGTTAGCAGCCCAGCGAGTAACCATTACGCCACCAGGGCTGCCTACCGGCGGTGAGAAAATGACAAAAGGTGAGTCCCACGGGTCACAGGGGGTGGGCCCAAAGCCTGCCTTCTCTACGACGGCCCTTGTCCATACCTCTCAGTTGCAAGCCCAACAAGCCCTGGGGTCGCAGCCGCCTGGGTGCGGAGCCCCTACACGAGAATGCTCCAACACCGGGCAGCCCCAAGCCCGCTGGGACGTCAGCCCGGGTCCCGGTCCGCGGTGGAGTCCGGCGGGCAGGGAGCTGACACTAGGGGCGCCTGTACCTACTCCTGTCGGCGCAGTCCCATGGTCCCCTCCGGGCATTTAAACCGAGGCCGGGCCAGGTGGGCTCGGGGTTGGGGCGCCAGGCCAGCCCCGCCCAGCCCGTGGATGGGACCCTGCCGGCAGGGGCCTAGGGGTCCCGGGTCCGGCGATCGCCCGCCGACCCTCACTCACCGCCGCCGCTGCCCATCGCCGCCGAGCTGTTCAAACCTGCCTGGGAGCGCCGCGCGCCCAGGGAGCCGCCACGCACGCGCAGACCCCGCCCGCCGCCCGCCCTATTTTTCAAACACGCCCGGCGCTTCTATTGGCCGGCCCGCGCTGGGCGGGCCGCTGGCCCTCCAGCCCCGTCGACACATCCGCCCACCCGGGTCAGCCCCGCCAGCTCCGGGAGCCCATGATTGGCTGCGCTAGGACGCGAATTCGAATGCTGAGCTCCGATTGGCGGGACCTGTGCGGCTACCCTGCCTCCTTGGCCAGGGCGAGGGTCCTGGGAAAACCTCTCGCCTCCTTTGCGGGGTCTCCCCGCGGCCTAGGCGTGGGGTCTTGGGGGACATGCGATGCCTGGCTAAGGGAGGGAGACCTGGGTTTACCAGTCCAGGTGCTTGCAGGCGCCGATGTTCCGCCGTGTCCCGTGCTCCCGGGACACTCGGCGGACGGACCCTGACAGCTGGCCTACGCTTACTTCAGCGAGCTCCAACCTCCAGGTCCTGCTTCTCCTCGCTTCATGAATCGGAGGGTTCCATCGGGCCCACTGCCCCGTCTTGCCCTAGGGCGCGTTGCTCTCACTCGGACCAGAGGACAGCCCTTCCCCAGTCTCTGCTGGCTGCCTTCCCTGACCCCACATCCCCTTCTGAAAAGTGGGTCTACTCTCGCTGCTCTGCTACCTTTTCTGCCCGCCAGCCCGGACAACCTCGTCCACCTAGGTCTGCCTCTCACTTCTTTATGGGACATCTCTCCCCATCAGTGGTCACCATTCTCCCCTCCTGCATACTGGCTGAACTTCTGCAGAGAATCTGGCCAGTGGTAAGGGGCCTTCGTGTCACATCACACGCCAGCCGGGGCAGAGGCCAGTGAGGAAGCTGCCGGTCCCTCCCACTTCACCCCACCAAAGGAGGAGGCCCTGGCAGATGCCATCTTTCCTGGGCAGAGGAAACAGTGTGCACAGAGCTGACAAGCTGAGGGCTCCTCCTGGTGGCCCTGTCCAGCTCAGAAGCGGAGGGTTCAGGCCTCTTGCGGTGGCACCACGGCGCGGAGGGTTACTGTTTCCAGTTTGTGACTGTGTCTCACGAGGGTTACTTTGTTACCCGTATCTTCCATAGCCTTCCGCTGCGAGAGGCATGCTGCCTCACCAGTAGGTGCCGCCCACCCCCTGGGTGAGGAGCATACCCGTTGCTCAAAGCCCTCTGCCCCACAGTGCGCCCCCCCACCCTCCCCCTGGTGGCTTCTGCTTTTACTGGAGTTAGGTGCTCTTGTCTTGGCCGCAGGTCGCTCCTTGCCCCTCACTGACTGCACTGGCAGGGCAGCCAGGTTAATGACACTTTCCCCAGGGCTGCTGATGGGGAGGACCCTATGGAATATTCTAGATTGTGAGGAGTGTGGGGAGGGTCCCGGAAAGAACCCAGGCCTTGAGCAAGAGGAGAGGGAGGGCAGAGAGAGGGCAGGGCCTGTTCGGGTGGGCGGGGCCAGGGCCTGTTTGGGTGGGCGGGGCCAGGGCTTCCCCCAGGCGTGGGCGCAACTGGGCGAGTCTTCCCAGCCTTAGGCAGCGGACTTCAAGACAGACCAAGTGTTTATTGCAGGCCCGGTTCCCAGCCCCAGGCGTCCGGGCTCTGGCTTTGGGGTGTGGGGCTGGCGAGGCTCAGGAAGACATCCTCCAGAGAGACCTGGCTGACCACGTAGTCGTCTAGCTGGAACTTCTCCCGAGCTCGCTCTAGGGTCCCAAACATCTGCAGAAGGCAGGAGGCCACTGTGGACTGAGCCCAGGGGACAAAGGACCGCAGTGCCTCCCAAGAAGTCATTCTACAGACTTCAGCTGTGTCCCTCAAGGAAAGAGCCCTAGTGGCCCAGTGGCTTTGCACCAGCTGCTGTCTTCCATCAGGATCCCAGCCTGGGAATCTTGTGGCCGCAGGTCGGTTCTGCCTTGCAGGGACGCTCTCAAGTCGGAATTGCTGGATGGCAACCAGTTTGGTTTCTGGCTTGGTCCCTGCTGGTGGGTTCCCAGGCTCTCTGTGTGACCCCTGTATGTGTGGTGCCCCCTCTCTGGGCCAACTTCCCCCTTCAGAATCCAGGGGGCTGAGGAACTGAGCTCCAAGGTCCCTTCCTTCCAGCCCCAGCACCTCTGCTGTCATGTAGGTAGCAGAGGCGGTGCGGCTCTGACCGACTGAGGTTTGCACCCCTGGAAGTGCACTCACCTTGGCCCAGCTGAAGCCCTGGGCAGGCAGGTGGTAGTGGACCAAGCCCTGGTGCTCGTCCTCCAGGATGCTGCCTGCACAGGGAGAGCAAGTTGTGAGGGCAGGCTTGGGGGACTGGGGGCGGGAGTCAGCCTCCCCCAGTAGCCCCCGCACCTGGAAAGGTCAGGCTGACAAAGGCCTTGAACTCGTCCAGCGCTGCTTTCTGCCCATCATCACTGTGGACCTTGGCCCGCAGGGAGTAGCCACTGCCAAACTTGCTCTTGAGGTGCTGCGGGCTGCCCAGGCACTTGAACTGGCCCTGCACCATGATGGCCAGCCGAGTGCACAGGGCCTCACACTCCTCCATGCTGCGGGAGAGGGGAGCTTGAGGCCGGGCAGGCGCCCAGATCAGGCTGTTCCTGACGCCCATGCTCTCTCCCAGTGCAGCCCGGAGCCACAGCCCAGCCCCTCACTGAGCCCAGCTCTACCTGTGGGAGGTGATGACAATGGCCTTGCCGGACTCTCGGGCCCGCGCCACTGTGTCCCAGAGCAGGCGCCGGGCCACGGGGTCCATGCCCGTGGACGGCTCGTCCAGGAAGATGACTGCAGGGTCTCCGATCAGGGCGATGCCCGTGCTGAGCTTCCGCTTGTTCCCGCCACTGGAGCAGGGGTGGGAAGTGGTCAGGGAGAGGACTCCTCAGGCTGCAGAACCCACATGTCCAGCCCCTCTGTTCTACCCAACATGGCCAGCACCCTCCCCACAGGGCTACATGACTCAGTCTCCCTCCCCGGCAGCACGCACAGGGCCCTTGAGTTGCCTATGAGGGCCTCTTGGGGTGCTTGAGCGGCCCCTGGCACCACATCCCCTCCTAACACTTGGCTGCCCATGGCAAGAGCCACCTAGAAATGTGTTGGAACAAAGGCCTGACAATATACTTTTTTAAAAAAGGCCTGGCTTAGAGGGTTTCATTAGGGAGTTCTACCAGACATTCAGAGAAGGGTTGATACCAGTTCTGCACAGACTATTCCAGGCCCTAGAAAGGGATGGAATACTCCTGAACGTATCGTCTCAAGCAAGCAATGACCTGGTACCAAACTAGTCAGGGCCAGTCCTCAGAAAATTACAGGCATGTGTCTCTCAAAGAACAAAGACTCTCACAAAAACCCTAGCCCCCCAATACAACAATCTATCAGGAAACAGTACCACATGACCAAGTCGGAGTCACACCAGGCATGCAAGGATGGCTCGACATTAGAAGAAGAATCAAGATAATGGACAGGACAGCGCAGGACTAAAACAAAGGACAGGGATACTGCACATGGGCGCGTGCACTTGTGTGCACAAAAGAGCAGTCCCCGAAACCCCGTGGAGCACACATAGTCAGTTCTGACCCATGTGGGTCACTGAGCTGCCATCTAGCTGACACCTGGTCACTGGGTGTTGGGGGTAGAGCCTCCTCTCCTGAGGGTAAGGGCAGAGGTCACTGTGCTAACTGTAAACACACACACACACACACACACACACACACACACACACACACACTCATGGAGCCTTTCCTATGAGCCCAAGCTTGGGGCATGCACTCGTTCCATCTTCAGCAGACCCTGAGAAGAACTATGGGGAAAGGAATATGGTAACTTGTTTGGATGGAATCCAGCAGAGAAGACGTGGTGCTGAGGTGGGACTGCTGGGACACCTCAGTTTAGCCTGATGCCTAGGACACCACCCCATCTGGCAGGGCCTCAGTGGACCTCCTGGTGCTGCTGTGCCATGACCCCCAGCAGGTGCTGCACCCATGACTTTTGTAAAGTGAATCTGAGGACGCTTGTCCTGGTGGTGCTGTGTGCTTTGTGTTAGCCTGCTAACCACAAGGTTGGTGATTCAAATCCACCAACCTCTCTGTGGGAGAAAAATGAGGGTGTCTGCACCCATAAAGATGTGGAAACCGACTGGCTGCTCTGAAAATCCATCTTTGCATTGCTCCCGCTTTCTGGGTTCCGCTCGCTGCAGCCACCTCCGCTGCCACGGACTCTGGCTGCTCTCTTGTATGAAATCACCAGCGTGCCCCACCATGTCAGACGTGGCCGTGGGCACCAGCTCCGAGATCACCACCAAGGAAGGACTTAAAGCAGAAGGAGGTGGTGCAGGAGGTGGAGAATGGAAGACGTGTCCCCGATAACAGGAACGCTAATGAGGAAAATGGGGAACAGGAGGCTGACAACAAGGGAGACGAAGGAGAGGAAGAAGGTGGGGAAGGTGGGAAGAGGAGGAAGGTGATGGTGAAGAAGAAGAGGGTGAGGAGGCTGAGGCAGCTCCAGGCAAACGGGCAGTTGAAGATGATGAGGATGACGATGTGGACACCAAGAAGCAGAAGACTGACAAGGATGGCTAGACAGCCAAAGGAAAAGTTCAACTTAAAACAACAAAAGACAAGCACAAAGGCCACCGGGACCTAGTCACCCTCCACTCCCCGTCTCGTCTCAGAATCTAAATGCAGTCACCTAGTGGAGAGTCCCGCCCCGCCCACCTCGGGCCACCGCAGACACGCGCCCACCGCCACCCCACCAAAACCACACCGTGAATTTGCAGCAGGGGAGGCAAAAAGAACCAAAACTTCCCTGCTTTTTTTCTTAAAAGTACTTTAAAAAGGAAACTTTGTATTTTTTATTTACATTTTATATTTTTGTATATATTGTTAGGGGTCAGCCATTGTTAATGATCTCGGATGACCAAACCGGCCTTTGGAACAGTCTCTGGCCTACTTCTGACTCTACTTGTGGTGTGACCATGTTCATTATACTCTCAAAGGAAGGGGAGAGGGGGGAAGAGGGGGCAAATGAGGATCTGAAGCTGGGGGCTTAAGTGCAGAGGAAATGTTTTGAGAATGATGAGGGCAATGAATGTACAAATGTGCTTTACACAATTGCTGTATGTATGGATTGTGATAAGAGTCGTATGAGCCCCTAATAAAACGATTAAAAAAATAAAAAACAAAACAAAAGCAAAAACAAAAACAAAAAAAATCTCAAAGGAGTAAGAAAACCTTGTAAAAAAAATAGAAACAACAACAACAAATGCAATCTTATTCCGAGCGTTCCAGTAGCTGTTCTGTGCATGTACTATTAGTAGCTGGTCTGTATGAGATGGTTAAAAAGGCCAAAGGTAAAGGTTTCTTCTTCCTTTCCCCTTTTTTTTTGGTCTATGAAGTTGCTGTTTGTTTATTTATTTATTTAGGCCTGTTTAACGTATGTGTGAAACAATGTTGTCCGATAATAAACCGGAATTTTATTTTGCTGTGTTCTTAAAAAAAAATTTTTTTTTTTTTGGAAACCCTGATTTGACACGCTGGCAGGAGGTTTGAGTTCCTCAACAGAATGAGCCCCGATGGCACCGTGGTTGGCAGGTCTGTGGTCTGAACCCACCAGCTGTTGTGTGGAAGAAAGAGGTGGCCGTCTGCTCCATACAGATTACAGCCTTGGGGACCATGGGAGCAGGCCGCCTCTGTGCTAGAGGAGCACCGTGAGCCTGCATTGACTCGACGTGGGTCTGGGTCCTCGGTGACACGCCAGGCTCTCAGAAGGCCAATGCACTCTGAACAGGCCGTCCTCATGGGAGGGAGGGAGGAAGGAAGGACAGTGACCCCTGTGAGGCGCCAGGTAAGCAGGCCGTGTGTGGAACAGCCTGGTCTCCAGCCCTCCCTCTCACAAGGGACCCTGGCCCTGGGAGCTTTACCTTTGGCTGCCAGTGAAGGGGCCGAGGACAGCCAAGCCTCACCTGTAGGTCCTGACCAGCTTGTTGGCGTGTGACTCCAGGAGCAGGCCCTGCAGCGTGTTCTCCACACAGGCACCGATGTGGCGCTCAGGGATGCCCCGGAGCCGGGCGTACAGCACCAGCGTCTCCCGTGCAGTCAGGTGCTCCAGCAGGGCATCAAACTGCGGGCAGTAGCCGATGTGCTGCCGCACCTGAGGGCAAGGCGGCGTGGGGTCTGTGAGCCAGCAGGCTGCTCCTGGGGTCCAGCTCACCAGGGCTGTCCCAGGCAGGCTGGGCTCAGCCCTTTGGGTGGTGACTATTGGGCCAACATCTCTCTGCAACAGGCAGGGGCTAGAAACCCTCGGACCCCTGGCCCCAGGCCTCCTGTGGGCAGAGAAGTCAGTTCTGGAATCAGGGATTGTTGGGGTGTCACAGCCACTCATACCTTGTCCTTGTGTCCACCTGGGAGGAAGCCTCTGCCCTGGACTCCTCTCCACCCTCCCCCACCCCCAAGACATCCCCTCATCTGACCTCTAGGATCTGTACTCTGACCCCTGGGATCTATGCTCTGACCCCTGGGATCTGTACTCTGACCCCTGGGATCTATACAGGGGTCTTCAAGCCTTTCTCTTCTGGAACTGTCAGTGGGTTCGAACTGCCAATCGTTGGTTAACAGCTGAGTGCTTAATTGCTGCGCAACTAGGGCTTCTTCAATACCAGCTGGGGCAGAGGTGTCTTTAAGGAGTGTTTGTGATGTCCGGCCTGAGGGAGTGCGCCTCCATGCTGTGCACGGCCCGAAAGCCACCCCTGGCATCCATGGGCACAGGCGCTGCTCACCAGTCACTGGTGCTCAGCCCTGTCAGGGCTTCAGAAATGCTGAGCTCTTGGCGACACTCGGCGTGTGCTTCATCCCGGCCCTCCGAGCTTGCTCCAGGCTTGTGGAGATTCTGATTCTATCCCTGAGATCCTTGCTCCAGCTGCATTCTGCCTTCTCTTTGCCGTCAAGGGCGCCATGATAGTCGGGGACTAGGCCGAGCATGAGGCTCCCTGGCAGCCCGGGCACGGTGGGCTGCTGACCACAAGGCCAGCAGTTTGGAACCAACAGCCCTCCTCAGGAGAAAGACAAGACTTCCTGCTCCCATAGAGTTACAGAAACACAACTAAGTACTTACAGACATTTAATTTTTGATAAAGAACTAAAACACATTAAGTGAGCAAGAGCCAGTCTTTTCAACAAACGCTGCCGGAAAAACTGGCACCACTTTTAAAAGAATGAAACAGGATCCATACTTCATACCATGTACAAAAACGAACTCAAGAGGGATCAAAGACCTAAATCTAATCACACAATTATTAAGACCATCAATGAAAAAATTCAGTACCCCAATATAAGGGTACTGAATACACAATACAGAACATAATGAAAAATTAAGACTATCCACACTACAGAAGACAAATCACTGGGGCCCACTAAAATTATGACTTTCATGCACATCAAAAGACTTAATAAAACAGCCAACAGAGAACCCACAGATTGGGAAAAATGTTCAGTGAAAATACACCAGATAAAGGACTAATCTCCAGGATCGATAGAAAGCTCCTCCATCTTATCAAGAAAAATACAAATAACCAAATAAAAAACTGGGCACAAGACATGAATAGACAATTTACCAAAGATGACATCCAGTCTGCCAACAACCGTGTGGAGAAATGTTCGCGAGCACGAGCAAGAAGAGAAAGTACAACAACAACGAGCTATCACCTCACACTGTCATTTTTGGCAAGCTTCAATGAAACAGAAAACACTATTAGCTGGAGAAGACGTGGAGAGAAAGGAGCATTTTTACCTTGCTGGTGGGACTGTAGAACTGCACAATCCCTGTGGAACTCAGCGGGCGCTTCCTTAAACAAATGCAAACCCAAGTACCCTACGATCGATTGATCCAGCCATCTGTCTACTGAGTACATTCCCTAAAGATATCAGGACTACAACACCAACAGAGACATGTACACCTATGTACTGCAGCCATCTCCCCAATAGCAAACACATGGAAACGACCCAAACCCCCAACTCTAGAAGAATGGGTAAACAAGCTTGGGAACAGTCATACTATGGAATTTTATACATCAATGAAAAACAACGACAAACCCCCTTAAACACCACAAGACATGGAGAAAACTGGAAAACGCTATGCTTAGCAAACTCAGTCAAACTTACAAAGATAAATCTTTACTATCGTCATTGGTATCAGGAAAAACAAAGAAGAAAGGTGGTGCTTACATCGATAGCCAAGACTTTGAGGACTATGAGGAGGCCAGGCCGGGACCAAAACCCGGGAGAGGGGAAGGAATGGGAGGGGCGTGCCAAAAGAAGAGGAGGGTTTAAAAGGACAGTGTTGGTTTCTCTTCCGGAGACGAAATCTAAACAGTGGCTGGAGGGCCTTTGAAAAAAGAAGGAAAAGTAAAATTGAAATGCACTTGGGGTCTTCGGTGACAAACAAGTTCATCTCAACCAAAAACATTACAATCGTAGGGGAACCCACCAGGGCAGTCCTGCCCTGTCCTACCAGGTGGCTTTGCGTCTTTGGCATTGGGAGTTGATCGACCTCAAGCCCTGCTGTCCCAGGGGCAACGAGAGCCTGGAGCTCCCCTCGTGGCCTCTGTCTGCTGGCCGCCTGTCAGCTGACCTGCCCTCCCTCCAGCTGAGGGGTTCACATTCTTCAGCTTCTTGCTCGGAGGGCCTAGCCAGCAGGTGGCCGTGACTGACCTTCAGGCAGAGAGTGTTGTTTGCTCCAGACCCTCGTTCCTGGGCACCTGCTCCAGGTTGATGGCAGGCTCTTGTCAGTCAGGACCCTTTGCCAGGGGCACCGCTGAGAGGCCACCTTTGCTTGGAGCAGGTCCAAGGTTTGCTGAGGGCTTTCAGCCGTTGCTCTGGTTTGGGCACGCACGGCCGTATTCCACATCAACCGTGGGACTCCACATCAACCGTGGGACTCCACATCAACCGTGGGACTGGAAACTGTGCGTCACACGTGTGTCGCAGTCTCATTAGGGCGCGTCCCAAAAAGGTGCAACCAAAACAGGGGCTTCCGAGGACATCTGCGCGGCCAGTTCCATTCCACGCACAGAGGTCACTTTCGGAGGTTGGGGAAACTCTTTTGGACCGCCAAAGGGGTCAGCTGGATAGACAGAGGGCCATCATGGGCCTTACCGTGGAGACGTTTTTTAACACATGGAAAACTGAATTGGACAGTGGTGCTCGGGAATTTTTTTTTTTTTCATCACAACAACATTCTTTTTGCATTGAAAGGGCAGTCCCACAAGAGGACCCCCGGGAACGGACCCCAGCACCCTGCAGCCCCCATCTTGGCCCTTCCCTTCAAACTTCTCTGAGCCCAAACAGCCCTTTTGAGGTGGCACAGAATTCCTTAGGGGATGGTTGAGAGATGGAAACAGCTTCTGCAGGAGTGTGAGGACCCCGATGGGGGAGATGCCGAGGAGGGATAAGTTCCCATTTTGATCTCTTCTTGTGAGAAAAGTTTCTGTGAATGTTTAGCCCTCCTTTCCGACTGGCCCTCTTACAAGCAGGGTTTGTAAACTCCTTGGAGACAGACCACACTGCGTGCTTGTCCCTGCTGCAAGGAGCACAGCTCTGACCAGGCCCCAGACTGGGTGTCTTCTCAGCCCTGCTCTGGTCACACGGTTCTCCCACCTTCCTTTCTGTCTCTCTCCCTCGCTGCACAGTGGTGGGGCGTGGGCAGGATACTCGTCCATATGATGAGGAGTTGCTGGCAGGTGAGAATCATCTCTGGAGCCCTGGGCCCAGCGCAGATGGTTGTTAAATGCTGTCCAATTGGTTCCAACTCATAAGGACCCTCATGTAGGACAGAAGAAACTCTGTGGTCCGGTGCATCCAGGGCTATGTTTGAGCCCATTGTTGAAGCCGCAGTGTCAATCCATCCTGGGGAGAGTCTTCCTCGATTTTCCTCCCACTATGCCAAGTATGCTGTCCTTCCCCAGGGACTGGTTGCTCCTGACAACATGTCCAGAGTACGCGAACAGTCTCGCCGCCCTCCCTGGATATTCAGAAAAGGCCTCCTTGAATTGGTGAGGAGACGTGACAGAGCCTCGGGGAGATGGTGGGAGGGAGAGGAGGTCTGGTTTAGCGTGTTAGGGAGGCAGGCAAGTCTGAGCAGGTCTGGAGCACGGCTGCTCTGGGCTGGGACAGGGGGACCTGGTGACTCAAGGGACATCAACAGAAGAGGGGGGAGCCAGGGGACAGAAAAGGCCGTGGGACAGTGTATAGGATGAGCACATGAGGGCTGATGGTGCTGACCCAAGGAGCACCAGATCCCATAGCCCGGGTACAGGGCAAGTCGCGACGAGAGGAATCCAAGAAAGAGGTGCTGGGGACGGAGAGGAGGCTCGGAGGGCAGGGCAGGGTTAGAAGGAGCCCAGGTGACATCAGGGGTCACAACCGAGAGTCCCAACTGAAGGACTGGGTGAGGGGAGACCAGATTCAAGGTCCACCGGCTGGGGCTGCTGATCTGGACAGGGCGGGATATATGTGGATGTGTGCCCCCCACAGTACCAGGAGGTACAGGAAGGGAGGGGAGGGGTTTGGGGCAGCTGCTGGCTCTGGGATCTATTGGGCAGCTAGGAAGCCAAGGTGGGGGTGGGTGAGCCCAGAGAAGGGGTACAGGACCCCACTAATGGCCATATTTGAGGGTCAGAGATGAAGCTGGCCCTCAGAATGGACGCAGCCACTGACCCCTCCAGGACTACCTGTCTCCACTCCCTCACCCCGCTCTCCAGCCACACCCACCTCCCCAAGGTCTGAGTTGATGCTGGAGCCCTGGACAAAGGCATCCCCAGAGGTGGCGAACTCCTCCCCAGTCAGTATCTTGAAGATGGATGTCTTCCCAGCGCCATTGATGCCAAGCAGGCCAAAGCACTCCTGGGCGTGGACGGCGAAGGACACCTTGTTGACAGCTAGCAGGGGCACCTCCGTGAAGTACACCTGGGAGCCAGAAAGGCAATGTGCATGGGGTCAGAGGTCAGCCAGCTCCCCTTCCAAGGCCCTGAGCACAAGCCTCAGCTCGCCCTCCTCTCCTGGTCCTGAAGCCAGCAAAGTAAGTCCCTCTGGGGTAGCTGGTGGCCTGAACACCACCTGTAAACACCGGGAAATAGAGAGGCGTCCAGCAGGCTTGGGGAAAGGTCACCGAGTCCCTGGTTGCCTGAGCCCTACCCCCACAGGGCTCACCCTCAGATTTTCTGCTCAGTCCAGGAGAGAGTCACCCCGCATTTCCAACCTACCGGCCTTCCTTGCTTCTTGGGGTCCCAGGATCTTGTCCCTCCTCTCCCTCTTCCCAAGCCCTCGGTCAGATGGGTGCATGAAGGTGGCAAATCAGTTTCAAGCAGACTGTTTGGAGACCAGGACTGTGGGGTCAGCCCGGCACCATTCCACAGGCACAGGGTGTCTGTGGGTGCCGTCTCTGTGGGGAGCACTTGGAAAGGTAGTGGTCTTGCCGGGGATAGGTCAGGTGTCAGGTTGCTAACTAGACCGTCAGCACTGCAAACCCACCAGCCTCTCTACTCCCAGGAAGATATGGTTTTGGAAATTCTACCAGGTGCTGGCGGTGACAGAGTGCACTCGGGCTTCTGTTCTGGACTTCACCTTTGACATCTCCTTCACGACCAGTGGATGCTGCTCGCATACTCTCCCCAAGTGCGTCCGGATGGTCTCCCTCTCCTCGGCCACGTCTTGGTCTTCAGGCGCTGAGGGGGTCTTTTCCTGCACCCCAACAGGGGCCAGAGATGGAACGTGTGTGAGCTCAGGAGGCAGAGGCTAGGGACCACTGAGGACTGAGCTTCCTTGAGAAGGCTGTGAGGTGTTTGCCCACCTCCCTTCTCCGCACACTCACACACACTTGCCCCACCTCCCTTCTCTCTCACATGCACATTCACATCCCATCCCATCTCTCCTTTTTTTTCTGTCTCTCACATAACACAGGTCCCCCCACTTTCCCTCTCACAGACTCTAAATCTCTCCTTCTCGTGTGTGTGTGTGTGTGTGTGTGTGTGTGTGTGTGTGTGTGTGTGTGTTGGCTTAGCCAGGGCCCACTTTCTACTGTTCTCTGGGGAGGGTTGGCCTCTGAGGGAGAGAGTCAAACCAAGAGTGGAAGGAACGGAGCAGGGCCCCCCCTGACTCGGGATGTCTTGTGGAAAGTGGCTGCTTCTAGGAAATGCAGGCCCAGGTCCTGCTTGCTCCCTGGCTATTGTGAGTCCATCAACGTCTGCCGGAGAACCGGCCCACTGATGGAGGTTTCAGGGACTCAGCCAGACGCTCCTGCTTGTCCCCGGTTCACCCTGAGGTGGCACTCAGTGGCCTCCGGCTCCCTCTGATGCACACCACCGGAAAGACGCCTCTCCCTTGGTGGGGCTACGTGCAGGCCCACTCACCAGATTCTCCTTCCTGAAGCAGCTGGAGACCCTGGCTCTCAGCCTCCTCAAGGTGTTGTTCTCAATGAGGAAAAGGAGAACCAGGTACACAGGTCCGGAGATGGCCAGGGCGGTCATGTACTTCCCAATCCCCAGAGACTCCCAGGCAAAGATGTTCTCCTGGACCACGTATCCCTCTGCTGAAGAGGCACAAGCAGGTGTTAGCGCTCTCAGGGCAGCCCCCAAGCCATTATTAACTTGCACTTTGTGGTCAGGGGCCGTCGAATGACTCCACGGGTACCACAGGCAACTGAACCTACGTGCAACGGAAGGAGAGCCTGCCAGGTCCTGCGGCATGCTCACCATCGTAGGTGTGCTCGGGCCCACTGGTGCAGCTGTTGTGTCCATCCACCTGGTCCCAAGAGTCGTCCTCTTTCTCACCGATTCTCTTCCTCACGGACATATGTTCTTCTTTCTACTTTGCTTATGACGGTGTTCTTTTCATCTCATGTCCACAGGACGCAGACAGAGCCTTCCAAGGAGCACTCTGGCCGTATCCTCCGAGACAGGCTGGTTTGTTCTCCAGGCCATGGCATAGTCAATGCAATCTGAATGCATCCTTCTTCATACCTCTTCCATAGTCACTGTCGGCCTTCACAGGCACGTGGTGGAGTGATTGCAAAGACCCTGGCTTGGGTCAGGCCCAGCGTAGTCTTCAGAGTGACACCTGTCTTCTGGAATGCCTTAAGGTCTTGCGCAGCACAATTGCCCAGGGCAATAGGCTGTTGACTTGCTTCGTTGACTGTTGATGGCGGGTCCAAGTAAAAGGAAAGCCTCGACAACACCGCTCCTTCCTCCGTTTGTCACGATGCTGTCTGTGGATCCAGTGTGAGGCTGCTCGCTTTCCTCACATTGTGGTGTTACCCACACTGAGGGCTCTGGCCGTGCCGCGGGAGAAAGAGGAGGCCGTCTCTTTGTAAAGACGGCAGCCTTGGAAATCCCACGGGGCTACCATCAGTTGGAAAGGACCCAGTGGCAGTGAGTTTGGTCCTCGTCAGGTTTCCCATAGGTGACGCACAGAGATAGAACACAGACAGACACACAGAGACACAGAGACAGAATGTGGACGAGTAGCCGGGGTTGAGGGTAGGGAGATGGGAAGTGGCTGCCCTTGTTGGGTGGAGGGTCTCTTTCTGGAGTAAAGAAAATGTTCTGGCATGAGCAGAGGGCTGATGGTTGCCTAGCCTTGTGAGGCTGCTCAAAACCATAGGAACTAGACAGTTAAAAGAGTGAGTCTTATTATGTGAGTATCTTAGTAAAAAAAAAAAACCCATTAAGTGAGAATTCCAATACTCACAGGCTGAGATGCAATCTGTCTTGTTCAGCTTCTTGGTGTTGCAAAATTTCTGGAACCCAAAGTTGTAATATAGATTGGAGATAGCCATCCCCAGGCAGTGGCCCGGAAATACCAGGAAAGCATTGTCCAAGGACTGTGAGATGGTTTTATAGCTCAGATCTGTGAGAGGAACAGGAGATCTTAGCTTTACCTGCAGGAAGGAAAGCACACATCTTCTAGGATCAACTTCAGACCCCATGTCGCTCTTTAGCTAGTCTCCACCATAGGCTACTGTGCTCCTCAGACCCAATACCAGACACCTCATCAGTTAACCTCCCTGTAGGTTTGTGTTTTGTAAATGTCCTTTCATCTTTCGGTTTCCTTTGGCTCCAATTGTTTAAGCAGAAGACTCAGAAAACATGGTGGTGGTGGGGTGTGGCTGGATGCTCAGGTGGAGAGGGGCAGTTTGAGGCTGGAGAGGGAGGTGAGGTTTACGGATGAGCCAGGCAGCGGTTTAGTCTTGTGTGCCAGTTGTGGAGTTGCCACAGACTGGTAAGGACAGAGGCCTGGCCAATATAATGCCCAGAGACAAAACCACCATTCCTGAAAGATGTTATACGTGACTGTGTACCTGGAGATGCTAAGGGAATCCACCCAGATACAACTAGAAACAAAGGAGAGTTTGCTAAGTTCGTCTGGTGATCTTTTCAGAGGCCAAGAGAAGCCACCTAGAAAGTTCTTGCTATATGAAAAGAATGTTTGAAAAGTGTTACAAATGAGGAACAGAGCAGCAAGGGGAACAAAGCAATGAAGTCCCCAAGGACTCCCCAAAACAGACTTGGGGGCAAGACTTGACAC